ACTTGAACGAAAATTTGATAACCTAAAAGATTATTTTTGGAAATTATTGATAAAACTCAGTACGATGGAACTTGAATTGTTTCCTGGTTAAGAAGTCAAACTTTCAAATGACAGAACTTTTTTCAATTTCAATCGTGAATCGTAATTGTAACGTGTTTGATTGTCTTCACTCTCGGAGGTCTAGAGATGTCGAGTTGGAGATAAAAATTGTCATTGATTCGCGATCAAAATGAGCCTTTTAATTTATCCAATTTGGAATCTTTGGAGAGAGAGAGAGAGAGAAATAAGAGGGAGGAAGATGAGGAAAAGATGCTAAGTGAGATGAAACTTTTTTCCTCTTTCTTCGGGCTAAGGGATTGGCTCTTTCTCTTCTTTCGCTGTCAATGTAGAAAGAGATTTCTTATTAAAGTGCCTATTAAGTGAATGAGTTTAAAAGTGCGACAGAGAAGATGAAAGCAGATGATGATAAAATAGACAGAGAGAAAGAGATACTGATGATGATGATGATGATAAAAAAGTGAGTCTAAAGATGAGGATGCTGAAGATTATCAGAAATTTGTGGTTTCCTTGATAAAACCTGTCAAACTTTTGGCAATACAAGGAAAGGCCAATAACCATATGAGTTAATTGTGATTGAGAGTAAAACTCAATCTCTTGACCAGTGATAATAAATTTAATTGTGACGCTTAAATTTGACGATTACACTCAATGAATGCTAACTCATAATCACACTTTAAATCAATCTAATTAATTAATAACAATCAGTTAATCAACTTGTGAACCTATAAATTAACAAACAACAACAATCAAGGTTTTTTTTCCTGAACAAGTTAATTTTTTTATCATCATCATCTCTTGGTAACGACAATTAATTGGATTAATTTGTTGTTGTTGATTCATTAAATTAAATTAACCAGTGATTAAGATGTACTGATTACTTTTTCTCAGCATGAATTTTGGTTTTGTTTTGAAACACAAATTAAATTGTTAATTAAATTAACGAAAATAAAAGTCTATGAAACAATTTAAATTGTAACTTTTTGCCACAATTCATTCAGATTAAGATGTCAAAATGTAAATTTACTGATCTAATTTGTTGACTAATTAAACTAAATTGGTTAATATTGTGATGAAATGATTAATGTTAATTGCTAGAATTTAATTAAACAATTATGACAAATCACAAATTGTTCACAGACACAATTAAATTGTGTTGACTTTAGTATCGGGTTAATTGTTTAACTTTAATTGCAAATTTGTTTGATAATCATGATGATTGCATGTTGGAAATTAAATTTTCTGGTTAAATTAACAATTGAAACAATTAATTAACTGGTAGCCACTAATTAACTAGTTAACTGTTAGACTAAATTGAATGTTTTAATTGTTTATTTGATAATGATGAAAGTGAAAAGTTAATTTAATTGTTTGATTAACACGAAATAATTAAGTATATCTCGTGAGTTACATGATAACAATTTGAATCAATTAGGTTAATTGTGACAATTAAATCAAACAATCAAAATACAAAACTAACGTCGCGTTAATTTCAATAATGAGCTTAATTGCTTGCAAATATATTCATTGATAGTTTGTTAATTGTGATAATATATTTTTTTTTTGCTTCTCAAAGAGTGAGAATCAAATTAATCAAGTTGAGAAATGATTTAATTAAACTAACCAATAGCCGAAAGCCAATTGAATTAAAAAGGTCAACTGATAGATATGAAAATTAACTAAATTGATTAGTATGATAATCAAATGTAAGGTCAAAGAGATTTTAACTGAATCAAATTAACAATCATCACAATTAACTATTAGATAAAAATAATAAACATTTATTCATTGATTAACTATCAAATCAACAATCTAATCCAAAAGTGTTTTCAAATCAATTCACTTTATTTAACATTTTTCACCAACATAACAAGTTACCAATACAATTAACATACAATTAGTACAAATTACATATAAACAATTAGTTAATTGTAACAAATTCAATCAACATGAATACCCGGATACCCGTTGAATATAATAAACCCGTATAATTATATAACAATAATAAATTATAATAATTTATTCAATCTTCAAATTCCCATAGACTGTCAATAGTTTGAATGCTGGTCCATTCAATTAGCATACATGCCAATATGTAAGCATCCTCATCCTCATCCTCATCCTCATCTCCATCTTCATCTCCATCTTCATCTTCATCATATAGTTGATCCTCTCTCACCCATTTCAATGTCTTTCATTTTCACTATGATTCCTTGTCAATCTAACCTGTAATTTTAAAATGGTTTCCCTTTTAGCCCTCACACAAATTTACCTTTTACCCTTGACCATCACTGACCTTTACTTTCTTGGACATGTACGATGTACTTTTTTCCTAAGTCTTGACCAATCTTTTTTCTTTCTTTCTCATTCTCTTGTTTACTTTTTACCCTTTGACCTGGTCAACTGAATGGTCACAGATTAATTTGATTTGTTTTCTCCTTTGGTCACAATCAACTGATTTTCTTTCCCGAAAAAAAATACTAAAAACGTGTTTAATCATCAATTACCCATGACTGATAATCTTAATCACTGGATCATTAATCTTATCGTTAATCTTTAATGGGGAAAAACAATTTAACTTTCCAATAATCAGCTAATCATTTGTCAGCAATCAAAATGAGATTTTAACATTTCCATTGAAATTCAACTAATATTTAAACTAATCCTCTTAATTGTTCAAATACTCATTGATTAAAATCAATAACAACAAGATCAATAATATTGAAAAGTTTCAACAAAATCAGATAAAAAAAACTATCACAATTAACTTAATCATTAACTCGGGTAAATAATCATGATCACAAGAGATAGTCCAACAATTTATTAAAACATATCGTTTAATTATTAACTAAATTGTGAGCTTTAATCACAATCAATTCCATTCAAATTAAATTTCGTCTTAATAATCATCTAATCATCAGGAAAAAAGCAAGTTAATCAATCAGATGTTATCATTATCCTAAATCATAATAAGCTATCAAGTTAATAACAAGAAATATGAATCTGTCATAATTGAAAGGAATTAACTTTAATGGGTTAAGATTAGATTTAAATTGTTATTAAGATAACAACACAATCGGAATCAAATCAATTGACTTACCTTGATTGTTACAGATGAAAAACTATTTTTACGGATCAACAGTTTCGACGATGTTTTTTGAATATTGTTCAGAACAAAATTATCACGATAATAATAATTTTCTTTCTTCAACTTTTCGAGGACATTGAGAAAAAGGTTATTACTTTTTGTTTGCTGTTCATGTTTTAAGGTTTCAAAGGGTCAAAGGTGTACACAATTGAGGTGTCAGTTGTGTCCATCAAAAAAATGTCATGTCCATTTGTTTACCAAATCAACTGGGTTAATCTTTCCATCAGGGTAAAAGATTATCTTAATCTTGATCAGTTATTATTATTATTATTATTTTCATCAATGATAACAAGATGATCCTATCCAAGCAAACATATGGGTCAAGATTTCATGATATGGTCAATACTGGGATAATGATAATAATAATGCTATCGAAGTGTCAAAAAAACCCAGAGTGTGAGAGTCAATGTGAAGTTGAAACTTTGACTATCAAGTTTTGGGTTTTTTTTTGCTAAACAAACAAAGGTCAAAATCCGTTTGGATGTTTCCGTCTTTGATCTGATCATCACTAGATGGACACTTGATGAAATATATCGTCTATCATTCATAATGATGGTGATGATGAAGTTGATCATTATCAAGAGTAACAACAACAACATCATCCTCATCATTTATCATCTCACTCTCTCAACGTTTTCCTAAGGCCGGCAATCGTTTTCAAAACAGAAAACGTTTCGAGCTAATTAGTTATGTCCAATTTTTGAACTTATCCCAATACCCTAGGTCTCTCTCTCTCTCTCTCTCTTACATTGATACCTGTTATTTACCTGGACTAAAAAAAGCAAAATTAGAGCAGCATTTAAAGGACTACACACTGTGACATACTCTGTAAGTTACAGGGTAACAAGGAATAAGAAATTGCCTTAGGGTTTTCAGATCTCTTTCTTTGCTCTCTTATTTTTCGTGGTTGAATTAACCTGGAAGATGAAGATAGCCAAAGAGAAGGACACACTTTCTTATTCATCATCATCATCTCTCTCTCTCAGAATTAACTAATTAACTAACCATTAAAGAAACAACATATTCCTTATCCAGTTTTAATCCATCTAAACGTTGATATTAAACTTGCAAAACCCGTAACTCATTGAATTACCTGAGAAGAGGGTGATGAGGCCCTTGCGAGTCAAAGGGGAAGTTTAAATTGAATCTGAACCTGTTTAATGTCAATTAATAATTTAGCAAATAATCATTAGTTAATCATTGAGAAAACCAGAAAAAAAATTAAGATAATCAGATTTTGTTGAGCAACAAATTTAATCCTTTTACTTAATTATTCAATCACGACATAATCATCAACACTTTCATCTTCATCTCTAATCTCAGGACTTGTCTTAATGTTTCCTCTCACCAATCGATTAATACTTAATTGTCAACAATTTAATCAATCAAGATAATTTATACTTTGTTAACACGCTCTCTCATTGACGATGATTAACCAACAATTAATAATTAACTTGAGAAAAAGACAAATAATTAATGGTTATCAATTAATTGCAAATGCTATCAAGTATGTATTTCGAGTGAGATGTTGATTATTTTCCCTTTCATTTTAAATCATTCACATTTTTCATTTGTTAATCATCATCGTGATAATTGTAATCACAATAATAGAGAAATAATCACACGAGCAATTAGTCAATTAATCAAGTAATAATATTATCATGTTATTAAAATTATATAAGATAATAATAATAAGATATTAAGTGTTGGTGTGATTGAAAAAAAAACATGAAGGTTACATTGGGTTATTGTGATTAGGGAATCGAGATGATATTTAATTATATCTACATGATGGTATCATGATAATTATGATTAATTTTAATTGAAATAATCATTTAATTGACAAGCTTGGCTTCTGATTGTTGATGATGTGAGTTGGTGTAAGTTATTAATATATATTTACATGTAGGTGGTCATGATATAATTCTGAATGAATTGGAATCTCTGTTAGCAGAATTTGTTTTTTTTTTATTTAATATCTTTTTTTTTGTGTTCATTAATCTCACTTTAGGATTAATTGATGAGCATGAAATTAATGATTATATGAAAACGATGGTGATGATGATAAACATTTTCTTATAATTATCATTATCAGTCTTTCTCGCTCTCTCGGTGTATCTATCCTGTTGAAGATGATTCCAATTGAATAATCGGGAGTTTCAGGCTGGAAAATGAATTCACTCAGGTCAAAGCTGAATCTCTGAAGTTTGTGAGAAGATTTTTCCAATGGAAATGTTCATTGAGCTACTACAGGGGACAAGGAAAAAAAACTCTGTTGGATTGTCTTTTACGTGTTGACGTGCAAAAAGTGTGATGATGATGATGGTGATGATGAAGAGGATGATAGTGAAGGCGATTATTTATGATTCTTGGGTAAATGGCGTTTCATGTGAAGTGCTAGATGGTCTGAACGTGCGAACGATCGTTCGCAAACTTTACACTTGAAAGGTTTCGCTCCAGTGTGCTTACGATAATGTCGGGTAAGCTCATCGGAACGAGCGAATCGCCATTGGCACTCCAACCAGGTACATTTGTAGGGTTTCTCACCTAATGTAACAATCGAAATGTGTGTCGCAGGTAAACAATTACAACGAAAATCATGCAGCCAAATTATAACGAAGCAAAAAGTGATCAGCAAGACATTAAGGTGAATATGAAAAAAAAGAAGGAGAGAGAGAAAAAAAAATGGAAAAATAAGAAAATCGTTGCAACGATTAAAGGGAAATAGAAAGAAGAAAAAATCGGAAATGGAAACAAATGATCACGATCATCATGAGAATGGAAAACAATTAGCAATCATCATCATCATGCAAAATGAAATGAAATGAAATTTACAAGGGAACAATTAATACGTAGGTGCTAATTAGAAACATTTTGTAAACACAATTAACCTTTAATTGCTTTCATGTGCTAATAGTAGCTCTTTATATACAATTACTAATCTTTAACACCTTAGACTAAATCGTGACTTTCAACTTATCCATTGACTTACCTTAAGTACCAACCCTGATTTTACTTATAGGATTTTTTACTCAACTTAGTTAGCTAATTGTTACAACAACAATCAATTGATCATTACTATTATTATCAACGTCTAACTAAATATTAATTAGATTAACCGATATATTTACCTGTGTGGATCCTCTGGTGAGCCTTAAGGTGGGAACTCTTTGTGTACACTTTGGTGCAACCTGAATAATAGATTGAAAAATTGGTACAAAAATTAACAATTAAAAGGTAAACAAACAATTAAATTTAAATCAGTTTGTTAATCATTATCATTTGGTCAAATATTTACTATCATGTTATATATAAATTGCTGTTGATTTATTTATTCAAAACATTGGTCAGCTTATTGTTTCCCATTGAGAAGGAAAAAAAATAAAATAAAATTAATACAAAAAGTTTGACCCAAAGGTTTTCACTAAATCATTTTCATTGTAATTTGATTTGATTGTAAATAAATTGTTCACCTTAATGTTTATCAACCATTGATTGTTGATGTTAAATCATAGTAAACAATCAACTTTCAACCAATTCTCTAGTTTCTATGGTTACTAATTGTTACCAATACTTTCAATTGATTTTCCTTCAACTCTTATCCATTGATATGCTATTATTTGTTTTCATTGTTATCTGATAATCAAATTAATATTTCAATCAATTAAAGTTAATTAAATGGAAGCAGATGGTTAACAGTTCATGATACTAATTAAGTAGTAAAAAGCTTAATTGTTGGATGAGAAATTGTTTACAGTCTGCTCTGCATGAATTGAATCAACTCGTTGATATTCAATAACAATTAATGATTATCAAGGTAAGAAACAAAATGTTTACATGTTTTCAATGTAAACACTTGATTTTATCTGTTGATATCAATTGATATTCAGTTAATGTGTTGAAAGTTAATGTTTTTTTTTGTTGTGTATTTGTTTTTAACCCTTTGAGCTTTCGGGTTCACTCATTAAGAACCACATTAAGCCCTTTGGAAAAGCCTCTCGAAAATCCCGCCTCAAGAACCACCCAAGTATCTCAAAGTGTCAGGAATTACACTCACATACAGAGATGGAAGAGAGAGAGAGAGAGAGAGAGAGAGAGAGAGAGAGAGAGTGAGATTTCATTGATCAATGGAAAGTAAATGAAAGTTTCAATGATACAATTGTAATCAACTGGTAATGATGATGATTATGATACCTGTTGATGAGTTATGATGATAATGAGGATCAAAATTCATCATTAACTAAATTTCAACAAAGTTTCATGCTGAGTCTTTAAGGTTCATCTTAATTATCAAAGGAAAACAATAAGAGGTAAAGGAGGAGGAAGATGAACGATTATCATCATCTCATAGGATCGTTAAAGTTAAACAAGGAGCAAAATAGTAGTAGGAGGAAAAGGTGGATGAGGATGATAAAGAAGAATGAGAGAGAAACAAAGATGAGGCTATTTCGCAGCGGACGATTAATTTGTCAACTCTGTCAGTTTCTTTCTTTCTTTTTCTCTTTTTCTTCTTTCTTCTTGAGATCTTTTCATCATCATTACCTTCATCTCTCTCTCTCTCTCTCAGCATTTTGAGCTCTACTTTCATTTATTAAGCAAAAAAACACAGAATAATAATACTGTTGAAATCTGTGGACTTTCAGTCCCATGAGACTAATGTTTTACGTTCTAACGATTTAAAAGTTTTCTTATTCTTTTTCCATGTTCATTCACTATCCTTTATATTTTGTTTCTTTTTTCTTCTCTCTGTCTTTCTCTTTTCCTCCATCCTCATCATCTGAGTCATTTCCCCTTTTTTTGTTTCTCTTGTAAACATTATCATCATTTGGAAGTATCAACAGAAGAAAGAAAAAAGAAACAACAAAAAGGCAATGGAAACTATCAAGAATATAATAGAAAAAGAGTCAATTCTTATTAGTTCAATGCTACGTACGCACGTTACAATTACCTTGCAACGTTTTTCCGTTACTAAACGTCCTTGGGCTTTTCGTTCATCAGAAAACAAGATGATGAAGAAGAAGAAGAAGAAAGATGAAGATGATGAAGACAAAGTTAGTTGATTCTTGATAATCATGCCTAGCGGCTCTCAAACAGCAGTTTAATTCAGTTCAATTAATGATTCAAGTTAACACACCTTCATGAATACAATTAATATCTAAGAAAATAACAACACAAAAAAAATCAACATCAACAAGATCATTTTAATCAACGAAACATTTATCACAATCACAATCAATATACACAAATACAAGATCTTAACGTTAATCTTATATCACAATCTTATTGTAATCATAATCTAATTGAACTTGATGAGGATTAGCAGTTGTCACGTGACCTGGGAGTTAATCTGATTATTATTAATTACAGTGATGAGATGAGATGAGTTTTGTTTATTTAGTAATCATTTTTTATTCTCTCTCTCTCTCTCTATCTTTATATTTAACTTCTTTCTTTCTTTCTTTCTTTCTCTTTCTCTGGGAAATGAATGTTGATGGTCAACAATTTTAATCGAAACTGGAAATGATGATGTTTAAGGTGCGGTCAAGATGATGGAATCAACAAGAACTCGTCTCAAAACAATTTTCTTCACTTTTAATTGTGATGCAGATCAACAAGTTTTTTTCTTACACAAACATTTAAATGTTTTTATTTCTAACCCTTTACCTTGTTCTCCATCATCATCATCATCATTATCATCATCTGATTTAATAATCCACTCACTTGAAACCTTTTCCTTTACCATGTAATTTGTTAACAGGTTAATGCTTAACCATCTCACCAATGGGTAACAATCAAATTGGAAAAGTAATCATTGCATCTTCATCATCATCTCTCTCTCTCTCTCTCTCTCAAGACAATTAGCTCACCTTAACTAGTGTCCATTACCCTCTCTCACTCCCACCCTCTGACTCCTTTTCTCACTCCCTTCACTTGACCATTTCTTTTTTTTTTCTCTTTCATTTAACTATTTCCTTTTCCATTTCAACTTCCATTAAAATAATCAATTCAATCTTCACTTTTTCCACTTTTACTTCAAAGAAAAAAAAACTTTTTTATTTCTCACTGCATGTTACCTGTTCATGTTTCTCTTAATATATTTTTTGTTAGTCTTTACATTTACCTGGAACCGGAAATGAATATATTACACCAGGTAACTTATTATTATTATTATTACTTAGATATTATGTCCATTGACCTGATCAAATGTCAACATCATCATCAAATTTGGTATCATGTTGATTGGTAATTTTTAAATTTAATTGTCCTAAACACTAAGAAACTATTTTAATGCCTTAACTTTAATAACAATTAACTGGAAACCATTTTGTTACCTGACAATTTGCTTTATCTTTGACTTTTTTTCTACCTCATCCTCATCCTCATCATCTTTTGTCTTCTCTCTTTATCTCTCTCTCTCTCTCTCTTTACTCCTCTTGTTAACTCAATAATTGAATTATCCCTGAGGCTAGAACTTGTTTTTATAGGATAACCTTTAGTTTGTTATCCTTGTATTGATTTACAGTGTGTATTTATATTGTGTGATACAAATCAAAGTGAAATAGTCTCAATGAAATTGCTTGATTGACCAAGGGTCAAACACACTCACAGATAAAGACACTCGTCAAAAACTTAAACTGAGCACCTATAATAGGCTTGAAATTGAACTACAAAACGGTCGGTAAAAGATATACTGGTGACGACGATTATGTTGATTATCTTAGAGGAACCAAGAGTCCGACAAAATGGCCTAGCAAAAGACTGAGGCCAATTAACTGAATAATATATTGAAACTAAAAAAGAAACTCTTGTTTCTCTTGGAAAGAGAGAGAGAGAGAGAAACTTCACCTTAAGGTGCGTCTTTCTAATTGGTTATCTCCCTTTCTTTTTATCTTTCTTTTCTCTAACTTTGATTCCTTTACTTTCTTTCACTTGTTCACCATCTCCATCACCTTCATCATCTTCATCTTCATCTTCATCCTCATCATTATCCACCATCTCTCTCATCATCATTTCAAGAAAAATCTTCCTTGTTTTATCATATTCATTTGAATTTGAATTTCCATTCATATCCAAAGAAATGAAAATATTTTTTTCTTATTTTGTTTTTGCTACTCTTCACTTTAATAAACCAAATCAAATTGTACTTTTAATTGTAATTGCGTGTTAATAGTTATGCTCATTGTCAATCGTATTAATTGAAAGTGTTATGGTTTATAATCAACGGATGTTTATGTTAATCAAACACGAGAGCACGCGATTTGATTTGAAACTTGTTATTATATTTGAATTTTCGTGCGACAATTAAATTAAAAACTTTATATATGTTGACCAAAACAATTTGATAATTGATATGATAACTTAAACTAACTGTTGATTGTTTGTGGTTTTCAACAATTATTCTTGATTGTTTGAGAAAATTTTCAACTTACCTTGATAATCACAATGATGAATACGTCGCTTCTCAAGCTCGGGATTATTTCGTCGATTATATTTTTGTGTGCCAAGAATTAACTGACCTGAAGTCAGTGAAGAAGAAGATGATGATGATGATGTGAGTGTTGTTGTCGATGAAGATGTAGATCTACTTGAGGATGATGATGATTATGATGATGAGGATGATGGTGATTCATTGAGTGATGATTATGATGATGTGAAATAATTGAACCCGTGTTTGTTGATGTACTATTATTATTATTATTATTATTATTTATTGTGGTCAGTCCGTCACCAATACCTGGATTCATTGTATGACCCATTAAACCATGACTATTTGTTGTTGATGGTGATGAAGATGAAGATGAGGATGTTGTTGAGGATGATGATGATGTTCCCAATGTTGTACATAATGATGTGTGCATTGGATGATGAGGATGACCGGATAAGAGATGAGGATGACCAGGTACTGAAGAACCTGCAATTGGTCCGTTCATCGGGTGTCCTGATGCCGGATTATAAGGTGGAGGTGGAGGTGGGGCAGCGGCGGATGTAGATGAGCCACCGTTTGGTGTTACACATCTTTGAGTATTTAATTGTTGCTGTTGTTGTTGTTGTTGTTGTTGTGAGTGATGTCCAGTGTTCCCATGATTGGCCAAGTGAAGTTGATTGGAAGGTGAACCGGGCTCGGAATTGGGTGGAGTGGGTGGCATGTAGAGTAACATTCGGTTGTGTCCATGTAAAGGTGATAACATACTTGTCGATGAAGTTGAAGATGATGATGAAGATGATGAGGTTGTTGTGGTTGACGATGGATGATAATTACCCTTTGACCCATGATTACCAAATATTGATCCACTAGAATTGTCACTCGATGAATTAATATTTCCGTTGGGATGTCGTCCATTTAAATTTTGAACATTAGAATTTGAATTGGTATTGGAATTACTGTTATTATTATTACTATTTGTGGTGGTGGTAAATGATGAACCATTGTTATTGTTGTTTGTTGCAGTGATAAAGGATGAGGTTGATGAGGTTGATGATGATGGAGGACTTGGGATTAGTGGGACTGAGAGATTTGAACGGAATGAGTATTGATGCTGATTGGTTGCTGTTGTTAATAAATGATGATGATGATTATGGTGTTGATCATGATTCATATTATCGGTTTCACTTTTCACTTCAACAGGGAAATCATTACATATACTTGCTGAGATATCTTCCCACATGGTATCAGTTGATGGTACAAGTAGATTGGTGTAATTATTTCCGTTTACAAGGGATGAGGTTGGACTTGAAGATGAGGCCATGGAGGAAGGGGATGAAGATGATGAGGTTAGGTTATGGTGGAATGATGAATGATGAGGATGAGAGTGAGAATGAGGCTGATTAAGGCCACCTCCAGGGACACGGAAACTGTTGGGGGAGTTTGATGAGGGTGGTGATGATGATGAACTAAGTCCTGGACTTGAGGTTGATGGTGGAGGTGGAGGGGGAGGTATTGATGAGAATGGTGAATGATGTCCAAACATTAATGATGAAGGGTGATGAGGATGAGGAACATGAGGATGATGAGGATGATGAGGATGGTGAGAATGAGAATTCTGTCCATGGTGAGCAGAATGGTGATGAGGATGAATCGAATGGGAATGTTGTGAGTTACCATTGGACGAAGTACCATTTGACCCTCCTGACGATGAATGGTCAAAGTATGAAGAGTCATTTCGATTATCGGTTAAATAAGTTCTACCATTTCGATGGATTTGATGATGATGATGATGGTGATGGTGTAGAACCGCAGCACCGGTTAAACAATTAATTGATTGTTGAATATTAAGTGAATGCATATCGGCGGATAGATGTTTATCTGTCCACTCGGGAATTAGATTAGATGGACATCGACGATCAAGTTCGACTTCCATAACATATAAATCACTTCCAAAAATGGTCACAGGGAGGAAAGAAAAAAAACTTCACGAAAATTTATCAAAAAAAACAGATCGAAAATCTTAGCACATTGATTAATAATTTAATAACTTTACTATCGTAACCTTAGCACATCCATAGAGCCAAGGGCGAGAGCGGTAAAAAAAGTGATCTACTTGCTACCAATTGACTTACAGGTAAATTACAAGTTCGATGAGTATAATTTTCAATGAGCAATTTGTGTTGTTGATGCGAGATAATCAAACTTGCAACTGAGAAACAAGTTTCCAGGTCACTTTTCGTTTGCCGTTGTAACTCGCTCTCTCGTCTCTTTCCCTTCTCTTCATTTTCATCTTCTTCTTCTTCTTATCATCTCTTTCTTTCCTTTCTTTCATCCTCCTCTTCCTCCTTCTCTCCGCCGTTCTAGTCAGGCTACTTTTCGCTCCTCCCCGAATCGCAAGTAAGTCCCATTTCGTAGCATAATCAACCCGAAGCCGCCTCCTTATTATTATTATTATTACAACAATTGTATAATAATAATTTTCTTACGACATCTCTTCCTATTATTTTTGATACATTAACTTAATCATAATCAACTTTATCCTTAATTTTTGTTGTTGTTTTTATTTTACAAACCTGAACTTGATTTAATACCAACAATTTGCTTGATTGTTGTTTATTTATCATCGTTATGATTAAAAATAATAATAATACATCAAATATTTATCTTGACAAGAGTTAATTTCATCTAATCTCATACATATTATATATAAGATATTTAATTGTCAGGTCACACAATTAATCAATGGCAATATCAACAATATTTTTGATTACTCTTCAAACAATCAACTGATTTTCATTTTAATTTATCAAACAATTACATGTTGTAATATACTTTTCATACTGATTATTGGTTGATTGTTTTACTAAATTGTTTCCAATTAGTTGAAAACAAATCTTACAAGTTAATCATCACAATTTAATATTAGAATTTAAATTCAAAAATAACCTAAATTTAAACCAGTTCAAAAAAAAAGTTTGCTCGTGCCTTGTAATCATCATTAAATCATCATCATGTTAATCATTAAATTGTTGAATTAAAAGTAATCATATTTAATAATGAAAAGATATTTAATTTATCATAAGCGTGCAATTTAATTGCTGATTTAATAATAATAATGACCAACAGACAAAACGAAATAGAATCAACAATTAAATCAACAATCAACAATCATTAGATTTGAATACTAACCGTTGAGTGTGAAAAATAAGATTAAATTGTTGCGACAAATTAAATTAATATATCAATTGTGATAAAGAATAGTGAACAATTAATCAATATTATACAATCAACAATTAAAACTGTTCAATTTTCTTGACCCAAAGGAAATGAAATCCCGAAAGTTTTGATCTGATTGACCCAAAGATTTTGTTATTCTTAGAAAAAAAGTAAAAGAAAAGGTTAATTCGTGATTTCCGTTTCCAGTTTATTAACTAATCATTACTCTGCCAGTAGATTAACTATTAATATAAGATAAATAAAGAGATTATTAAATTAACTTTCGGAAGTTAATCTTGGTTTAATCTTCTCACCCAACAAAGAGTAACATTGGAAACTTCAATTCAATATTAACTTTATTAACTGTGATAATAATAATATTGATGATACGTTGATTGACCTACAACCTGTAATCAAGTTTCAACAAAAGGTTGATGATTAACTAATATAATTTAATAGTTACCTTTGAGAATTGATAATCTCTGTTATTAAATGATTATGATTACACAGGCACACGATTTACGCCGTAACAAAATTTGATCAATGTATCCGGTGTTAAGGTCACCAGGTAAAAACGGGACCGAAGACCAATAGTTTTGACCTTACCTCCTTTGCGACTTAGACGTACAGGTTAAGTGTTGTTGACATTCATTGATCGGTGTTAAACTTTCATCAGGTAAGAAGCAGAAAACTGTTAATCCGGTGATATTAAATTTTAAGGTAGTTTAAAGTCACAATTGATTAGCGAATCGGATTAACAAATAAACTCAATATGATAAATTGTGGTGGATAACAAAATCGAGATTGAGTAAATTAATGGAGAAACATAATCTACTAGGGAAATAGAAGTTTCTTTTTTTTCACCCTTCGGATTAGGATTATCCGATTATCTTTATTTTTAACCAAACGGTTCATTCATTTGAAGGTTAATTTTATCGCAATCGCTTATTAAGACGGATTATAAATATAAGAGATCGTTTCGACAACAAACTCTTGTCGCTCCAAGTTAGGGTTACCTTTGGTTACCTATGGAGTTTTTTTTACCGTTTCCCTTGTTTATTATGAGCATTTAATGTCATTACTCACACGTCTCATTGAACAGGGTAGATCAAAATATGAGACTGGATCTTACCTGTTGAATTCTGGGCTTGGCCGCTGGGTATCCATTGGTTAATCGGGGATAATCGTTTGGATTATAAATGTTTTATAGTTGAACGCGTCTTTTTCTAGTCAACCTCATCTTCATCATCTCATTGATACCTTTAATTTGCTTCATTGACCTTCTCTCTCTCTCTCTCTCTCTCTCTCTCTCTATGTTAAACTCAATGGAAAAGGTAATAAATACTTGTTGGTTTATCACTTTTTTTCACTTGACACTTTATCAGTATTTCTCATCTTTCTTCAGCTTTTCGTCTTTATCATCATCCCTATTTTACTCCCGCACATATAGACATCATCATCATCATCTTCATCCTCATCTTCAGGTAAAATCTTAAGGCCTAAGGTCTCTCATTGGTGGTCTTGCAATAGTTTTTCAAAGTTTTCTTTTTCTTTCAAAAGTTTTAGTTGAAAATTTAAATTGTTCGTAAACGCAAATTCAATTTCATGTACAAAATCAAGTTAATCACCACATTAAATTAAATTATCAACTTGAAACTAAATCTATTAATATTTACAGTAACACTGAGTAAATATAATAATCTTCGCCACCATAACGATGCTAATGATAATTATCGTAATTCAAAAATGAATCTTAATCTTACCTCAGAGATTTGAACAAGATTAGAATCATGAATATATTAATAGAAAACGAAAACTAAATAATTCATCAAATTGATAACATTTAATTCATGCTACTTTTATCAGTTATTATACTTCCTCCTACGTTTCCAATTCCAAGGGGCGAATATCAATTACCTTTGAGCTTAAGAAAATCAAATTATTCTAGTCGATAGAATCGGTAATGGTCATCTCAATGATAAAGTTTCGGTCATCACATTATCCATAGAAATAGAAACGATTTCATATGTTAGTCCATCAGATCCAAATTATTGATACAGTTAAAGGGACGAAACCAAAATAACATAATGGTTGATAGAAAAAAATTGTCCAACAATTAATAAACTATCAAAAATTATGATCATTATTATTATTATAACTATTGTGACAATCAACCATTTATGATTTTAGCTTAGAAATTCAATTTATCACAGAAAATTAAGCGAAAATTGAAAATACAAAGTATCACAGGCTTGAAGACTCGTGGACAGTAGAGACGATGGTCAATCACAATGACAATCAACCTGTGTCCAGTTAATGTCCAAATGTATGAATCATTTTTCACGCTACGTTTCCTCTCATGTATTATGAGCAAAGGTAAGAAGCAAAAAACAAACTGAACAACAACAACAAAATACATAACTGAAACTAACCAACAATCAAGTGGACAATGAAACGATGTCCATTCATTTTAGTTATTTTTTTCTTCATATATCCAAAGGTACGAAAACAATTTAAATATATTCATATTGATAATTTAATAAATTATGAATAAATTATTTACTATAAATTGTAAACAAAATGTCATAAATAACAATAAAAAAAAGGTAACATTTACTATTACCAATATATGAGAGTATAAACTGAATAGGAATACAATAAGTTTCATATGAAAATTATTATTCATCAATAGTTATTATCATTATAATGATGAACATTTTAGTTAGTAAATTGATTGTTAAAGTTAATTGTGATCATAATTTGCAAGTGAAACTAATGTTTACATGATTGATGGTAAATCGAGAAACAATTTGGTAACAATATTGGTACAGTTGAATGATTTTCCATAACTCGAAATGTTATTAAAACTTTTCTCTATTTATATTAATCTAAATGTGGAAATTATTTCAGTTACTTTAATAAATATCAACGAAATTCATATATACTTATAGTTGTTGATTAATTAGTAAATCGTGAAAAGATAAATAGAAAAGTTAATCAGTTGATTTGTGATTGCAAAGATTACAAATCAATACAATCGCATAATAACCCGTAGAAAAAGATATTGAAGAAACAATTTTCTCATAGTGATTGTTACAATTAGTTAATCAACAAGGTAAATTGTACTTATACACACACACACAAAACTACACACAAAGTGACCATTAAACAGGCTAATCAATTACTAAATCATCGACCCAGAGGTTAATCAGTTTACCTGATAAACGTTTAAAAATCCAAACAAGAAACAGGTAAGAGAGGAAAAGCAATTAAATGATAATCGAAACTAATGAAAAAGGTGAAAAAGTTTTACTCCAAAGGTTAAACTCTTGTTATTATTTGTTTGTTAGATTCTTAATTAAGGTGAATAAATAAATAAATCAACAATTAGAACGATAATTTAACCGAATGATGGTCAAAATATTATAGCATTTATAACCAATAATGGGACACACGAGTCTTTATATTGATATATATATGAATCGGTTTTGTATTCAGTTTGGTTGCTGAAACAATTGTGATAAATATTTATTATATATTGTTAAAGAAGTGAAAAAGATGATGAAGATGAAGATGAAGATGAGGATGATGGTGATGATGGAGAGTGAAGTTACAAGTGACTTATAAATGGGATGTGCCAATGTGCCTGGAGGCTGTTGTATTGGGCACTTTGGTGTTGTATATGCCAATGGAATGTAATTAGACTGTTGCGTGGTCTCTTTAAGGTTTGGCCATCAAAACAAATGAGTGAGAGATAGATCCGGATTCTTAGGAATCATCATTTTCATCATCATCATAATCATAATCATTATCATCTTCATCTAATCATCATCATCATCATCAGTATCATAATCCTATATTGTGCATTTAATATTACACTTTCATTAAGGAAAAGCAAAAGAAACTAACAAACAAAACCTATTCCAATTGAAATGGTTTAACAATCAAATTAATCAACCAAAGGATAATTAGTTTTCCCGATTTATAGGATTTTCAACTTATCATCCTCATCTTTTCATCCTCATCCTCATCTTG